CTTGCTCAAGAAGAGATGAAATCATTTTCAAGTATCAGAATAAGTTCAGGTGCAAACTCGAGACCAGTGATAAATGGCTGGGGGAAAAAACGAGCATCAGCGGGAGATTCCTGTGTTTCCTGTGTTACAATTCAATGCAAAAATATTTTTCAACATTTCCTCACAGACACTAAAATGCGGCAAAAATCCGCCTGACTTTTATAAACAAGTGAGCGCAGAAACGTGACAGACACCCGACATTTTATTTGTCGTTCCTGAAACAGATAGTGTGACAACAGTGGCTTTCACGGCGTCAACCAGCTTTGAACAGACACCCTCTACAAGAATAAATAAGCTAATAATGGTGTGGAGCACAGAGAGGCGCGCTGGAACTGCGTTCACTGTTCACCGGCCCCTGAGTCTGACACGGAGCTCGAGCAGCTGAACCTCGCTGCTGTTCAACAGCCTGTAGTACTCACGAATATACAAAACCCACAGCGCTACAGTCAATTAACAATATTATACTCACGCTTGCCTCCTGGCTATTAATCTATGCATGGGAGTCGCCATGTTGCAGGTTACTTTTTCTTCTTTGTTGGCATTAAATCAGCGCATATTTCCGGCCCAATCAACTCCGTTATCGCCTCCTATGGGTAAGGAAGGTCTACTGCATGTATTTGTAATCATTAACATTTAATTCACAGCAGCCCTGACGTTTTGTGTGTTTTTTTTTAATAATACTATGCAAAAGTCTTGAGCAACTCCTCATTTTTCTTGATATTTTGCTTATAAGGAACAGGATATTATTCTAAGTGTTCTTGAGCAATGGTTCTGCAGGCTTCCTGAATTCTGTCAAAGTTTTCCTTTGGACATTCGCTGTTATTTTCCCTCCGTTTCAGTCCAGTCTGTGTATGCAACCATTTCCGGAGGAATGTTTTGTTTTTGTTTAAGACACTTAACTCTGACCTATGAATCATTCAAATATAAAAAAGCCATCTAAGGGATAAATGAGTATGGTGGCAACACAGATCAGACAATTAAAGACACAATTTCAAATTGTATGTCGTTAAATTGTAATGACAACTACAAAAAAAGCTCTCTTCTGCAGATGAGAAGTATCTCAAAGTCATCCTTAAGAAACAGGACAAAATCCAGTAAAGACCTGGCCACTGGCCCTTCTCTTAATCCATCTACTGTTTGACGAAATGGTCTCAGTGAGTGCCAAGTGAGTGTCAAGAAGCCATTCTTAAGAATGGGAAACAGCCCGAGGTATGCTAAATTAGAAAAAAAAAGTGGTCTGAAAATCAGTGTAATTTGAAATTTGAAATCGTCATCCGTTCGAATCGTCATCAGTTTGTGCAGAAGAGGTCAGGAGAGAGGTACAACTGTGAGTGTCTGCAGAATCTGTAAAACAAAATGCAGATATGAGTCTCCTCCATCATGTAAATCTCATGGTGTTGGAGTTCTTGTTAAAACTGATAAATTATGACTGCAGAAAAGCACAGTCAGAGTTTGATCCCCCACGCAATACAGTCTGGAAAGCATGACAGTGATACCAAATGCCCTACCAATACAGCAAAAGCATTATCCAAATATGTGTACAAACTCACAAACTCAGTTTTTTCTTGTATTTCCATTTGGTTTGAACATGTTTCAATATCTTGGTGCATTGATTTCCTATGTTTCAAATAAAATATAAATGAATTAGAGTTTAGTGCAGTTCTGTGATACATGTGATTCATTTATACTACATTAAAGGAAAAAATGTGCCTCACATAATAATGTTTCATTTACAATCAGCATATAATGGCATATAAACATTCTGTTTATTTCTCCCCAGCTTCTTATTTTCACTTTCTGTGGAAACAGTTACTGAGGTTAAGCATTCAGTTATCTGTCACCAACACAGTGCACACTTTCAGCAGTCAAGTGTCACCACACCCACCTGTATTTACGATTTGTCAGAGCTGCCTTTACATGTCATCAGCTCTCTTCTCTGTTTCATAGATTCTTAAATAAATGACATTTTGTTTTTGCAAACCAAACCAAAAAAGTGTTATGTCAGCTACTATTTTACACTAATTATTTATAATGATTGGTAATTTTATATCATGAAAATTACTAAGAATTATAGGAGTATTTAAAAACAAATCTTTTTCAGTAACAACAACTTTAAAAATTGCTATGCTTTAGTTGTTTATAATTAATTTGTTTAATGTTATTATATTTTCTTATTTTCCTCACAACTTCGCACTGAGCTGGGTCATTTACATTTTTTTATTTCTAATAAAATAAAAACAAAAAAACAAAAAACAAAAGGGGACAAAAAAATGACTTCATCACTTTTTGCATCACAGTCTATTTTTGTTTCCCCACCCTGATTCGATTCCAGAATTCATCAAGCTAGTCATTTGTTGATTTCACTTACTGTAAACCTTAAACTTGGAGGTTATTTTTTTTATTAAATAAGAAGAAATTTATGGAGCTTTCTCCCTACACATCGACTGTTGGAGAACCGTCTTTCACGTGGCTATGGAAAAGTCCAGAGAGCGCTAGAACCCTGTAAATCTCGCGATGTCTGCGGGCGAGACGTTAAAGCAGACCTTGCCGCTGCAGACTGCCAGCACACGTCAGAGACACCGGCAACAATCAGCGGTATGGATTATGAGTAGAAGTATTTAAGACAGAGCAGCTTTACAACTTCACTTGACTGGAGCATCTTTTTTATGTTTTAAAATCTAGTTACAGGTTTATTTTCTTTACAGAAATCATACTGTATACAAAGATAAACCTAGGAGACAGATATTGCTGAAGATGTCAGTGGTGGGATTTGACTTGGGCTTTCAAAGCTGCTATGTAGCTGTAGCCCGAGCTGGAGGAATCGAGACAATCGCCAATGAGTACAGCGACAGATGTACACCGTAAGTACCAAGTAAAATCTTATTATAGTTTGTGAAGGATAGCTACACAGGACAGGTTTTCATTTATAAGTGTTGTCTCACCTGTATCACTGTAATACACGTGAACGCAACTTCTCTGCTTTCAGCGACCATTTGTGCTCATTACTGGGAAATTGAACTGCTTTTCCGTGTAAGTTAGTGACACATTTCTCAGCCTGTCTATGGTGAGCATGGAACCATCTAGAAATTAACTCATAAGGCTCACACCGCCTTCCAAGACCGATTATGAAGCTCCGGTGAGCTAAGCAAGTTAGCTGAGCTCATAGTTTTATTAACGGTAATGACAGTTTGGAGAATTGGTGTGGCTTCGCCGGTTAAAACATGACCGGGCGGTGTTTGCCACCTGTCGTTTTTAGGTAGTTGTACTTGTCTTCAAGGCGTAAACTCCGACCAACCGGTGTGCCCCGTGTGGCAAATTGTACGCCTTGCGTTATGCTCTGTACGATGACGACAGCGGCCAATCTCTTGTTGGAATATTCTAGCAAATTTTTATGTCTTTTAGCCTTTCATGTTTTAAACGGTGTAAGGTTATATAGTATTTATTACATGAAAAACATATTGTTATCAGAAAGGGTTTTTTTTAAAATATTGTTTGAATTCTGCTTATTTGGGTTCATGGCGCATTTTGTAATTCCATTAGTTAGATTTCAGTCATCGTGACTAATTTTTTAAAGTCTTTACAGTATTTTCTCTTTTGTAAGAATTCAACGTTAATATAAAGCACACAAGCGTTATTGAATGTTATACACTGTCACTGGTTTTGAATGATTAACTGGTATATTTATAGATGTATCATTACAATTTAGAATTCCCTGCCAAAGAGTATTAATAAAATGAAATAAGACCAGTTATTATATTGTAATTTATTTATAACGTTTGTATTAAACAGGGAAAGAAAAAGATAAACATTAACGGCCAATTTATGCTTAGATGTGCACCTACTAGTCAGAAAGTCAGAAAAATTTAATATAATATATATAAAATGGGTTTTATGTCATGGTTATATGAAATATGTATACATCATTAGGTTGCTGTCTTTATTGTGAATCAACCTGGACTTTTTAAAAATTATTTAATTTTATTCAAATTTACAAGGCAAACATGAATATTCGTAACACACTTTGTTCTGTAAAGGCTTATACTTACCGAGTAAAAAGAAAACAAATACTTTCCTGGTAACTTGCACAATGTTTTGTCTATTGCCCACATAAATATGTTGCATTAAATTTGGAAAAATTATGAATATTGGACATTTTTTCACAAATATTGAACTGTATTTGTGAACTTACTCTCTACTACATCATAAACCTCACAAACACCACTGTAAAAAGTCCTTTGAGTGCTCAAATAGAATAGAAAAGCACTTTATAACAACCAGTCCATTTACCATACAACTTCCTGTCCTGTTCTTGATTGAAGATCAGCATCCGCTGAGTGACTCTCCTCAGAGACTTGTATTGTTGACATCACCACACTCCACTTGTGTGTTCATAGCAACGCTTACTCTGTGTCATCAGCATCTGTGTTTGATAGAGATGGTGATGAGAGGCAAGCCCTGTGTGATTTAAGTGGACTTACCACACCACTTCAGCCTGTGTTTATATAGTACAGACAACGCAAAACTTAAACAAGCCAGTCTGGAGCCTCAGTCCAGGTTTCAACAAGGATTATTTAGAGAAGTGCTGAGATCAACTAGTTAAAAATTGCGACCAGTGTAGATTGGTCACTGAACTATCATGTGAAGCTCTGCTAGTTATGTCATTAATGTAGCTTAATATTTTGACTTGTGTGTGTCCAGGTCTTTTGTATCGTTTGGACCCCGAAATCGTTCGATAGGTGCAGCTGCAAAGAGCCAGGTAAAAATTCAGTCACCGATACTGTCATATTTGGGAGAATTATTTACAATTAAATGTAAAAAGTGGTTAATACTTGGCTTTGTTTCCTCCTGTTTTGTCTCTCTTTTTTTATTCAGGTGGTGACCAACTATAAGAACACAGTGCAGAGCTTCAAGCGATTACATGGCAGAGCGTTCACAGATCCTTACATCCAGTCGGCCAAGTCTAACTTGGTGTACGAGCTGGCACCGATGCCCTCTGGGGCCACCGGTATAAAAGTAAGACTGTATGTTCTAACCAGGTTTCTGCCCTCAGCTTAGCTGATGGGAAATAATTAATCAAAAGGGAAAAAAAAGACCATTAAAAGAAAATTAACTGAGAGACCGCACAGTAGATACAACAGCTTATTTCTGACTATGTTGCATCCTCCCCTCACTACATGCTGTGCTCTAAGAAGTGTGTCATGTAATACTTTTTGCTCTGATTCATAGCATTCCTACTTCATCTTCCCATTTAATCCTAAAAACACTTTCAGTATGTTGTATTTATTTCTGCAGGGATTTTGTCTCTTGGAATATTATCCTATGGGCAAAATGATAATTGTGTTGGTGATATGAACCGTACGCTTTGCTGACTGCCTAAATGTGAAAAATGTACACATTTCTGGCACTAACAGATGATGACTGTGAGACTCCAGAAATACCCAAAGTTATTGCAAGTGCATAAATGACAATGCTTCGCTTGGCACACTGCAAAGGCACAGAGCGGCATGTTGTAGAGTCCCCGTGGAGATGATTAAT